CAAACACTGCCACAATGCCAGGGTACCTTGTTGTGAATGGGGGGGATAAACCATATATTTCCCTAATTTTGGTACAAGTTATCATATCAGATTGCAAATGGGATATGGCTCAGGAATTTAATGGGTCCTTTATACAGATCAGTATTTGGTGTAATAACATCCTGAAGTAAAGTTCATAAATAATATTAACAATGTTACTTTATTTACATGATAGAAACTCAGATTATATTTGAAAGTCATCTTTAAACATTTTAACATGGTCACACTATATGAAATGACAATGATATTCAAGTTTCTCCATAATACCTTCAGTTATCTTCTGGTATGTCAAACCTATCCAGCCTTTTAATAAGACTGCACTCAAATACCTAATCTCTTTGATGTAAAACATAAACTTGGCATTTTGTAGCTTTCACTGCCTAAATTAGCAGTTGTTGCTTTTTAACTTTAGGGCAAAGAATAACCGTGTAAGACTCATTTGCAAAACAACAATTAACTGTTGCCATAGCCACTCTGATTTGTACTGATTGTTCTGGCTTCCAACTGCAGGGTACCATCTGAGTAAGTGATTGAAGTAATAGCACAATGTTAGCCTTAGGAGACTAATAATCCTTGCTTATTGTAATTGACAAGTGAAGAAGTTATAGATAAGTAATATTGATATATTCTGGTGATTTCACCTGAGAAAAAAGGCCGGCTGTTGGAACTTTCAAAACACCCTTTGATAGTTCAGTATGGGCCTTCACTTCTACCAGATGTATACCTGCACAGCATCCAGGTCTCTGCACTGGTTAACTCTTTGCAAATCAAATTTATTCACTCCTTGAAAACATAATCCAGGACAGGCCTGGTGACCTGATCGTATGGAAGTACTCAGTGGCTGAGGGAACAGCAAACTTAGGAAATTTGCATGTTTGTTGTGGCAGAGGAGAAGCAAACACCAACTTTAATTTTTCAGCATCAGTAAAACATCTTCCCACCCCAGCGAAATTGAAACCTGCAGATTAAGTGAGATGCAAAAATCACAGTATTCCCAAGTGTGTGTGTTACGGACACAATGAACGAGATGATGATATGCATGGTCACAACTGTTGGATAGCTGGTACTCATCTCAAGGAGACATATATCATATTTCAAATAGACAGAAGACAACATCTGAATGAGTGGAAACTGTACTCAAATGAAACACAGAAGAGGTTACTGGTGTGGATGGGTGCTAACATTAAAATCTGAAATATCAAAATTATGCAATTTTACCAGATATTTACTCATCATCAGTTGTCACACTTATATGCATAATGTTGACTTGTGTGGTGACATCAAGATTTTATAGGGAAATTATGAAAAGAAAACACCTGTACATTCACCATATTTATCGAACCAAAAAGACAAGTTTTAATATGGAAATGAGTATAAACTTGAATAAAAGCCTCTAACCTCTTGGCTAGCAAATAAAGACTTGAGTATTTTGTAGTGGAAGCACTTGAACTAGATGCTCTCTAATCTCACAAAGAACCAGGCTAGGCAGATGGTGGCAGACTCTGTCATAATACCCACCTACAGGGAATGATCGGTGGTTAATCACGAAAAAGGTCAGAGGAAGCCATACACCAATGTCGCAACCTGTATTCATAGCTTTTCACATAATGGAAGTTTATTTGGGAAGCATTGAGAAGGTTGTAATCACTGGGAATAGCCAGCCCATGAGGTAGGTGCCCAAGTGTGAACAAAGCAAGAAGACCTGCACTGGAATGTGTGGAGAAAGCACAGTCATCCCAGGACCTAGCCTTTCACACACCGTCAAAGAGAAGCTCACACAATACACCCCAAATTACGGCCTATCCAACGGGGCATTACATGTTTTGCCAAGACTGCAAACAATCCACAATCACGGAAAGTTTCAATAAAGTACCTTGAAATGTAAGAAGGGATGACAGTGTACACTTGATGCTGGACAGGGCTGACATTTCAACTATGGATACCTGGTCAGTTATACCAATCATGCTCCTCTACTGTTACACTTCCCCTGACAACTGGTGGAGACAATAGAGCTAATGAGATTTGTTGTACTACTTAACCTGCAGGAGAAACTAAACTAGGGTACAATGCATCAGTTCAGATCTAGAACGGATCAACAATTACCCAGTTCTGACATAAGACATTAGTCATGAGTGATTTATCTAGACCTGCTCAGAGGCTGATATTTGGCTCCACTTTAAGTCTGCAGAAAATGACAGTAAAAGTTCCACATTAAGAATTAAGTTCCAATTTCTTGTCTCTACATACACTGTATAGTTACAACTAATGGGATGGTTTTGAAGAAGTGACTTGCATTTCATTGGTAACAGAGCCAATAAAGGTGAGGCTTTAGCATTTAGTTTTATATCACTGCAATAATGTAATGTTAATAACATATAATGTTAAGACTAAAGACATCTAAATTTAAGTAAATAAGAAGGTATGAAAATTCCAGTTTTTAACAAACTAGCAACTGTTTCCCAATTTGCTTGCCAAGAAAGCGCACATAGTTTGGAACCGTGGACAAATCCCTGGTTTCTGATGTATCTCATCTCTCTGGCTTGTTCTATGCAATGTACTTCATTTCACACAACATACATGATACAAACATAACGTTGTAAAACATAGGTAGGGGTCAAGTCTTCATATCTTAAGTGACAAGAAAACTAATAAACCATCCTTAGAGCCATAAAGTTTCTAAACTGTTCAAATTTTAAGTTACACACAGACAGATGTGATAAAAATATCTTTTGATTAGCAAACTGTGCAAAAACAGCTATGTTTCAACAGCTTTCATTGACATAAAACAGCAATACAAATTTATGAAACCAAAATCCTATTTAGTTTTCAAGAAGGGCAGTACAGGTATGAAACCCATCATCAGACTTTTACATATCTGTGCCTGCATTCAGTCATTCATTCAGCTACTGTGGCAGATACCGCAATTTATAGAGGTAACACTTAGGCTCTAAGTTTACTGTGCGCCATGAGCATTGCCTTACCATTGGGACGTTCCCCTAATTACTGCCAGTACTAGGGGGCGGTAGCAGCTCACAATAATAGCCTCATCACACACTTAATGACTCTCCACCTACATGCCCACAACCCTTTCTAACTCTACACTAGACATGCAAACATCCAAAAGCACGTCCTGATACTTTTTAACTCTCTTCACTTCATTCAAAATTCAAGAGAGTTTATTTACATATGGGTGATTATTTTGGTTGCGACGTGATTTTAAAAAGTTCACTGTGTTCTGACAAAATATAACAGTCCAAACCAACTTCATTTAGCACTTGTGGGGGATTCTAGACATAATTTCTTGTCAAACTACTTCATATTTTAAATACACAGACACATGTAATTATTTATATATTTCACAAATTATAAAGTATCACCTAGAAGTCTACAAAAATATCCTTTTTTGAAAGGCTACATTGACAGTCAGCTGATTACTTTGTGTAATCTGAGAAGTTGTCAGGACGCACAGATTCAGTGTAATTATTCTTCTTAAAATCTCCTGCTCATTTCTCCTGCAATGAAAAGATCAAACAGAAAATATCAAAAAATCTTGTTTTAAGAGGTAAGCCCAACAAAAAAAATTTACATACAGGTTACCCCAATCCTATTTGCAAGTTGAGCTCAGCTTCTGGAAGAAACATTGGTACTCAGGGCTTTAGAAGTTGCTAAATGAAGTGTATGGGGTGGGGGGGGAGTGTGTTTGTTGGGAGAGAATTGTAAGTCTCGTGTTACAATAGACACAACAGTCCAGAATTCAGATTGCTGCTCAGCAAGACCAACCCCCCCCCCCCCCCCCCCCCAATGTAACAATTGACACAAGATTGAAAGGAGAACGGGAACCTCGTTTGATTTCGACTATTTCAATTCCAAACTACAAATTGAATTCTGCTGCCTCTCTTGATAAATGTTACGTTTATCAAATAGTGGAGGACTGTGGACAAATTCATGTTGTCTTTCTATGAGTAAATTGTGACCGAGAATTTCCATAACTTTAGATGCTACATTCTATATAGCCTAGTAGGCCTACAAACGGATGAACACAGAACCCTAGAAAAACTATATGAAGTAGATGGTTGTCAGACCAAACCATCATCAAAATTTTACTTTGAATGTTTACATCTCACTATAATCAACATAAAATATATTCGGTTTCACTGTTTAATCCATTTCGGGACTGACTGTTATTTACAAATGCATAACATTCGTGATTACACCAGGCCTACATGGATGCTAACTGTTACGCGCAACCCACTCATTTTATGTAGGATCTGCTTCGAGACGCAAATTCGCGACATTTGATGCATATAATGTCACATCAATCAGCATATTATCTCGGGAATATACACGGGATTCAATTATACCTGCTGGCCTTAAGTAGCATATCTTTGGAATAAGCATCGAAGAAGTATAAATGAGTTGTGATGGATCATAAGCAACAAAATCGGTGCCGCTTTTTTAACAGCGAGTAGATCTTATGGGTTTTTTTACGAAAGCTGATTTCAAATACCACACATATTGTTGCATACGTACGAATCAACGATGTCGCGAAAACATCGGATAAAATATGAGCACATAATAAATCCGTAAAACACCCAATCTCGAGGGATTAGAATATGAGATAATCCGAGAGAATCCATCCACATAGGACCGTCCCGTCGCTGATTGTGTCCACTGGTACAATCCGTCATTTGAATATTCTTATTATATTTCCCACGTTGATCGAACAGACTGGCATATAAACACACTTCCACAGTATCCGTGATTTCGCTGGAAACAGTCGCTGTCTGCAGGAGTCCAAGTGTTTTGGTCCCGTTAGTGATATCCGTCAAGCATGCCTGTCAGCGGTAGGCGAGATCACAACGCTTCGGACGCTTCCATACATCGAGCCAACTCCAAACAAAGGCTGTAAGAAACTAGTTTGAAGACACATGTAGCTAGATATGCAATAATTGCCCACTCACCTTCTCTGGCATATGATATATCGGTAAAATAAAATAAATATCCAAGAAAAATCGGAGCCCAGATTCGCACAAGCCGTCGCGGCGCCGCCATGTTTAACACTGCTTCTAACTTCATCCTGGGCATGCTCAGTGAAGCTCCAAGGCTCATGAATATTTATGAGGGTCTTTTTACCAAGACCAACTGTACTCGCTGGAGTGTGAAATGACACAAAACAATTCGGGTATTTGAGGGGAAAGGCGATTTGGGGCTATTTCTGTGCAGTGGACAGCGGCTTGAAGCGATCAGGGCTGTTCAGTAGCACTTTCAGAGTGGATTATTCAAGAAAACGATTTGATAATAGAACTGACAGCTGAATCGCAGGACGTGTCACTCAACTGATGTCGAACTGTAGAGGAATTTGAAAAAGGAAACTTTAAATTTAATTCTCAGATATTTCGATGAGATGATTAATTCAAGTTTTATTGACCAGATAACAGTTTTGTAAAATAAAGTCGCCCAAATAAATAACTCGCGGGTATTTCTGTATAAACACAACTGGTAATCTCACACGCCCGAGTTATAGAATAATACATCCAACGGCCTTTTGTTGTATCCCTAGGGTGAGTCTCGCCAATAGAAAGTGTTTTAAAGTTGATATAACTGATTAATATCGTCCAAACATGGGTCATAGAGTAGCGTGTTACTCAGGGTGCCAGGAATGTTCATATATTCTTCCCTTGCCGCGGGCAGCGTGCATGGGCCGACTAAGAAGTCGCTCTGTCCTGTCTACTTGTCACCTGTGAAATGAAAGGCAATTAATATGAGCGCCGAGCCCTTCACCGCCAGGCCCAGGTGAATTCCCTCCTGTGACTCAAGTCATCCTAGCGGTATAGCTGCAGGCACAATATATATATGTGTACATGTATAAGGGCTCTTTCGACATCAGTGTTGTTTCCTGAGCCATTTCTATATGATCTTTCCATGTCTATACACTTCTACATTTCATCATTTTATATGTACTAATCTATATACCGTAATTGCTCGATTAAACGCCTGATCTCGAATACACGCCGTGCCTTGAATAAACAACGGGTAGGTTTTAGGCACGGAATTCCACCCGTTATTATCTTTGTGAGTTCATAAACATCGTATGCACGAGGGCAAATAAAAAAAATTCATGCCTTATGTTTGTATTTTAATGTTCATGTCTTACATAAGAACAAGAAGGCTGGAAGTTGGCATTATTTTTATGTCTTGTATGTTTTTATATGTATACGCCATCTTAAGACAAATAAACAATTGATCTAATATCACTTCACGCGCACCTGTCTATTGTTTACGCAATCCAGACGGCATTGCTGACGTCATTCGAATCATATTGTGACGTAAGGTAGGAATGACGACATACTAGAAACGACGTCATAACTGAAGATTGTTGACGTCATTTGACAATTGTGTTTTTTAAGACGGTGATCGTGATCCGTGCATTTTTTCTAAAGGGGAGCTCAAAAGACTTAGAAATAATGGGTGAAAACATATTATTACACTCGCATGTATGTCATAATGATTTTATGAAACAAACTCGTGTAAGAATTTATGTGTTACCCTCGCTCTCACTCTCACTGTCGCTCGGGAAGTACAAGAATTCTGACACTCGTATCGTAAAATCAGTGTGACACTTATGCGAGTGCAGTAATATATATATATATATAATATGTTCAGGACGATAGGTGAAAATATAAAAGAGGTTACTACAGGTTAGGCGCGGGACAACCGTGAAATATAGTCAGAGAGGGTCATGATACAAAAGGGCCACCATGTTAGTGGATAAATATTATATCACGTTTGCCGTGAGTTTCATCTAGTAACTGACTGTTAGACATGAGGGGAACCCAACAGACCAGTGCCTGAAGACCATTTACCACACTCAACATCAGAGATCGCCTTCACCATGTACATTAATTGTTGCTTGTGCGCCTAAACACATTAGTGTTCCTCTAATTTACAATTACCAACAAGTGTTTCAGGGTCCCGCGGGTTCTCAGGAGTAGAAGCGTAGGTCGTCAGGACGCCACGCGTGTTGTGTAGAAGAGCCACAATAATGGTGATTGGATGGCCAGACTCGGTGACCTGGTTCAGGACGGCATGCGTGTCACCGCGCCCCAGTGGCGATTGAGTATATCGTTGGTCATGCAATTGAACACTGGTTTATTTAGTTGATAATCGATAACTTACGAACTGCCTTGCAATAGCTAGAACTATAGCCGCTGCGCTAAACAACACCCTTGTGTTTCCACTGTTTTCAATGCGGCGCAGTGCCGCTAGGTCTCGCTAACCAGGCAGTGATGGCGGTCCTCCCAACATCTGCACACGCGGCAGAACGTAATGCTTTGCCAGTTTGGGTGAAGTTTAATGATGTGATTTGATAAACAAACAGATTCGTCAATATTATGATGCCTCAATGTTTCGATCTTTTACTCATGAATAAACAGTATAGGCTAATTTCGTGAGTATATTAGATTTGCGTATTCATTATGCAACACGTATATAGAATGATGCATATTCCTTTTCAGTTATGTTTCCCCCATGAAATAAAAATAATATAATTTATAAGTTTGCATATTTGGGAGTATTCAAATTCTCCACATGCAAGCTATACAACTCACAACAGTGCACGGATCTTCCCAGACCAGTTCGCTTTGATCTCTTCACAATACAATGATATTACTCGGACCTGCTTCGACGACCCTTTGAACACGATTCAGCTGCCAATTTTAATTTCCACGTTCATCCATATTAGACATTTAGTGATTATTTTCAGATGTATGATTCAAACTGTATAAAAGAACACTGGCTTCACCTCCCAGATTATAATACCCTCTATCATTTTTTTTCTGCGAGGCTATAGAAGATCAAGTATGTACCTTAAACGTATGATGTGTTTTGTATAGTGTGCATAAACCTCGATCATTGCACTGATACTGCATGTCTGATCACTGCTAAATTAGTTTGTTTACATCATTCTGTATACATGGGTTACACTTTTTAATGCTATAACAACATAAATCTGTTGGGTATATTTGTGAAGGAAAATCTCATATGTAAGTAAATTATGTTTCTTATTTCATATCGTTGAGAGCGCCACAATCTCAGGACCAATCTGCATGTGGTCTGGCGGACAGAGCTTCTTCACGGAGAGCGGTTCGATTCCCACCGCGTCATATCAACAGGCGCTAAGAGATGGTACTTTTTTTTACCATGCCTGGCGCTCGGCTGTGAGGTGATAAAACGGGTCGACTTGGAGTCAGGATACTTTGACTGGTGCAAACACACATACACGCGCGCTCGAACACGTCCACATTGCTATATAAGTGTAATAATCTTGAACGCGACGCTAAACCCCCTCACCCCTCACCAAAGCGGTAACATCAATCGTTATATACACGCATGTGTGTTGTATAATTTACGGTAGTTCACTGCCCGTTAGTCATAACAGTAGTTAATTTTCCTCCCTTTGAAATTACCAATTAAAACAGATTGTGTTGGAGAGCGCCGTGCTCATACAACATATAGATCTAAAGGTGTGTCGAAGTATAGATGAATCAAGGATATAACACATTGACGAAGTTGCCGTCGAACATTTTAACTCAAATTTGGTCGGTGTCTGGGGTTGAATTGTATACATTTCACTGCCCAAAACATCTTTCTTTGTTGTTTTTTTCCAATCACAGAAGTAATATCGTATGGCTTGTTATAGTAACAATCGCATGCCATCTCCACCATGTGAACGAGGGAGGCTTGTAATGCCTTGTCGCCAATCCCGACGTATCACGTTGAAAGTAGGACACGCTCTGTTCAGCCCAGTTCTCACATGACAATGTTTGTTTGTTTGTTGTTTAACATCGAACTCAGCAATATTCCAGCTATATGAAGGCGGTCTGTAAATGATCGAGTCTGGACCAGACACTCCAGTGATTGATATCATGAGCATCAATCGACGCAATTGCGATATGATGATATGCTTCAACCAAGTCATCGAGCCTGACCACCCAATCCCGTTAGTCGCCTCTTACGACAAGCAAAGCCGTCATTTACGGCAAGCATGGGTTGCTGAAGACCTTGTCTACCCGCGGGATCTTCATGGGTCTCATCTGACAATGGAAATGAAGTGTCCAACTTTTATACTAAACTCAAAATATCTTTAAATTTAGTAGATACACACAGCACCAAATAATGTTTAATTTCAGCACTTCAATTCGGAATAAAATCCGTCATCTGGAGGAAGTTGAATTAACGTCGTGAACAAATCCTGCTTGCCGGTCACCACCGATATACGGCGTTCGGGTTCTCACACGTTTTATAAATTTTACTGACAGTTTTGTAACGACCCTCGCAACTGTACGTCTCGCCTCGTTAGTATGGCTGTAATAGAATTAAGGTGCTAACACTATATTATTGTTCATGACGTAACCTGCATATTGCTGTATAGATATGTAATTTTGTACCGATCTTTCCATCGACAAGTTCATCATGCATAAACTCAACCGCAAGAGGGTACTTCCATTGCCGTCCATTTGTCTCCGTTGTATTTTCGCTACACAAACAGGCGCTGGTAGCCTCCTGCTTGTCATCGTTGGAATTAAACCAGCCAAGTCCCGCGTGCCTCGGCCATGGTATTTCACCACCGCAAGGCCCACACCAAACAATTTCAAAGGTTCTATTGTTTATCTCGGTTTGCCCAGCGTGGACCAAGGAAGACAATTTGTTTGGTCTCCCGTCAGTGCTGAGTCGACCTTCGAGGTCAGTGCTCGCTGTGTTGGGACTTCCCTTCCTACACCGCGACGTTTCTCAACGTAACAGACACATTGCATAACATGGCGGGCAAACTACAAATTATTCTTCGACGCAAATTTGATACCGTCTTTGAATATTTTTTCGAGAGCAAACTGATTCACAACAGAAAAATGCGAGACTTCTGATTTGCTTGTGTTGAATCCTGTATACCTGCATGCATTTATTGCAAGGACACAACACATCTAGCAGTATCAAACTGAATAAGAATATATCTTCATATTCGTTATTGTTTTAGATGATGGCTGCGAGCGGCAACCATTATTGTTTTTTTCTGTCTAGGTACAAAGTGAACTTCCTATATATG